CTTCCACCAAAGCAAGAACAAGAAAACGAGGTTGATTGGTATCCTGGAGTTGGAGGAGAAAAAAGAATCGCTGTTATCTGCAACCCGAACGGGCAATTGGAGGCTTGGCGGAAATTCTGCCGATCCGGCCAAAACTCGTCTCCGACTTTCTTGACTTGACATCCTCATCACAAATATGGCGGCTCTCCCAGCAATGCGCCCGCTGGGCTGCTTGAGGTCTTTGGTGCAGGCTTCAGCGCCTATGCAACCATTCATCAACCGTCGATTCATCTCGACGACCTATTCAAAGAAGCCCGAACGGGTACCTCTTCCCCCGGACATGCCTAAGCAATTCCTATCCCAAATACCTCTTCGCTTCCGCCCGGATCCTGGTATGTCCTATTCAATTGAGTGAAAATGACGCGAGCTTTGCTAATTGTCGCTACCTTATGTAGAGCGCGAGCCCCTCAAGATCTACCCTGCTCCGCCATCCGCTCGCAAAGCATGCCAGGACCCCATCGGAGCGGTCACCGAATCACAATTGGCAGTCCTCGACCCCACGGGTGAGCGCAAGGCAATGTTCGACTACCGACGAAACCCACGCAGTGTTAAGACCGGAGATATCGTACGAGTGACATTCAAGAACGGCGACCCATTCAACGGAATTGTTCTTAGCATCAAGCTGCGCGGAATTGAAACATCCTTCCTCATGCGCAACGAACTCACCCGTGTCGCTGTTGAGATGTCCGTCAAGGTCTTCAGTCCCAATGTGAACAGCGTGGAGATTGTCCAGCGATCGGAGAAGAAGCGCAGAAGAGCGAGATTGTACTTCTTGAGAGACCGCAAGCACGACCGTCGCAGCGTGGAGAACGTTGTGGCCAGCTATGTTCGCCAGAAGAAGGCTTTCTTAGGTGGCGGCAATCGTCGGCGTTGATTGAGTTAGAGGGCGTCCGGTGCGACGCTCGTTTGCATACGCGTGGCTGTATTACTACTTATCATTTTGTACTTCATCTGTGTTTATAAATTGCGATATCAAATACAACTTTGAGCTCTTCTATTCTAGCGCCTATGCCATCTCACAACATATTTTGTTGCATTCGCCGCTTTCCGACTCTTCAACACTCCGGCAACCTTGTTTTTGCTCTTAACCACTTGTCAACGTGCTGGATGATCACTCGACTTCTGCTTTTAACAAGGAATGCACGTCTATGTCCAAGTTGTATAAAGGAAGCTCCATACAGGAAGTGCCTTGCAATGCACCAAGAGCTCATATCAAATGGCAAGAGGCTTTCGGAGTTGTCCCTTGCCTGCGTTCTTCTTATTTTCTCTTAACATGTCATCAGTAGTTCGGCAATTTGATAAAAGCAAGTCAATTCAGTCCTTCCATGTCTAGAAGAAACGCCTCATCTACACATCTTGGTGAACGATACATATAGCCAGTCCCCGATATGTGACACCCGAATGATATCCCGCATACTATAGAGTCAATGCCATACTGAATCACGCATTGGCCCTACCACATTTCAAGTTCCATTGGGACTCTAGCATGAGATCTCTTGCCATTGAAATATTCAAGTCATGGATGTAGCCGTGTGGAATATGACAAAAACAACCCAAGGAAACTAGCAAAATACATGTTTTATAGCTGTTTTTCCTCTTATATTGGGGGCTACTAGTCCTATATTCTCACAAATATCATTTGAGATCACTTGTGCAATTGAATTCAGATACACAATATAGATAGTTTGATAGCATTGACTTCAACGTTATATATTCGTAGACGCATGATCATAAATAGGGAAATTTAATACTCAATAAATGTATCGGAAGCTGTTGGAAACCGTTAGTATCTTTCCTAAAGGAGAACAGCAAAGGGAAAGTAGTAAAGACAACAAAAGAGACATACTTCAGGTTTTCTCGGTCCGTCAAGTCCAAAAACGCAGTTGCGTCCAGATCTCTTCCCTCGAGACCACCCTCCATCTGGGACTGGATGCGATCGCGCTTCTGATTTTCCCAGCGGAGCAGTAGACCAAGGATGCTGATTAGAACAGCCTCGATCAAGTGGGAGACAATCATAGACCAGATGCCGAGCGCGTAGGTAGGTCTGTAATTCAAGTTAGTTCTCTAGTTCAGAAAATAAGCAGAACTATCCCCGAGGAAAAACACACGATTGTTCAGTTTTATAGAAGAACGGTCCAGCAATGTTTCCAGTACAGTACCCCAGGAAGAGCACAGCGTTGGTAACCACTTTCTTAGTATGGCCTATTCCATGTTAGCGTTAATATCCGAGATATTTTCAATTTAGCATCAAGCAAAGGTAGATGTCACCTACCAGCGGTGTTGGCCATTTGCATACTCAAAACAAGGACAAATGCAGCATTGTATGGGCCTGTCAGGTAATAGCAAATCAAGCGACCCACACTGTGTTCGATGGGAACAAAGCGAAGACCAAAGGAGCCAGCAAGGTTAGGAATCAGGAAGATGAGGACGAAAATGCATCGTCGATTTTCGAAGCGGTCGTTGAGGTAGACGCATGCTAAAATCGAGATTGCAATGATAAAGCCGTACGGAATCTATGATTCATATTGTGTTAGCTGAATACTATGTGACTATCAAATTAACTCTTACCTGCATAAGAGTGGTCACCAATGTTGAGAACCCGAATCCTTTGATAATGATAGTTCCGAAATTTGAGATACCACCGTTGGGGATATTGCCTATATAGACGTTAGCTACGAGAACGGCCTTTGACGTCGCAGAAGTCACATACAAACCATGCCCAGGGTGAAGAAGACGTAGAGTTTATAGTCCATGAAAGCCTCCAAAATCTGATACGGCTTGAGATGCTTATTCTCGACACCAGTCTGGTTTTCCCGTATACGCTCAACGGCCATACGGCGCTCCCTCTTGGTAAGACCTTTTGCTGTAACGGGTGAATCTGGAAGGAAGATAAACATGACAATACCCCAGGCAGAACACAGGGCACCACTAAGCAAGGTTAGTCAAATGGGAAGTTTCAATGGTGGCAAGAGGAGACAAACATACATCACGATAAACTCGTATTTCCAAGACGGGAGTGCACCTTTAAGATGACCAATTCCATAGCCCAATAACCCACCCAATGCAATACCGAGACCATTCGCTGTATACCACAGTCCGAGACGCACTGGCTGTTCACGACGGGTATACCACATGCTCGTGATGAGCATGAAAGCTGGGTCGGCGCAGGCTTCGGCGGCACCACCGAGGGCTCGAAGAACAGCGAGGGTCTCGAAACTGTTACAAGCAGCTTGGATCATGAGGAAGACACCCCTTCATGAGGAATGTTAGTATCGGATTGCACTATCTTCGATATCAGTTCAACGAACCACATGAAAATATTGGCACCCAGATATTTCCCTAAAACAGGTATTAGATGAATATCCAGTTCAATTTTCCAGGCTCATGATGGGAGAATCATACCAATTGGAAGGCGCTGCATCAGAAAGTTGGTAGGGAATGCCCATGCCAGGAAACCAAAGTAGAAGATACTGCTCAGCCAGCTATACCGGGTTCCATGTAGATCGAGATCTTCCCGAATTCCAAAAATAGCAGCATAGCTCAGCGTTGTCTGTTTCCGAAATAGATTCTATTAGCACACGGCTTTTCGGCCCAAATGGAGTAAATAGCCAAATTATCCCCAATCAAAGAGACCGACCTTGTCAATATAGAAGAACGCATAGCAAACAGCCAAGTAGGGCAGGATCATGAAGTCAATCTTCCACAATAGCTTCCTGGCCTCCACCGGATCGACATCTTCATGGAGCTCGTCCGGGTCATCGAACAGCGCCATAGCCGTGTCGCCGTCTGCATTTTTGGCAGACTTGAATTTGGCGTGTTCTTGGTTGCTTTCTGCATGGCTTATAGTGGGAACTTCGGCAATATTGGCCTTTGAGTCAACATTTTCTGGAGTATGGTTAGCCATAGCGGAGTTAGTTGTTTAGAATAGGAAATGGAGAATAAAAATATATGAAATTGGGCCCGAGGCAAAATATATATAAAACGTAGGACCAATGGAGGCATGACAAAAAATGTATAAAATGATATAACAAGTTCGGGGCGACCCCGAGTTTCCCCCCTTGATTCCAAGACAACTCCAGAAAGTCCCCAAAGAGCAGCCATCTCGTACTTCCCCGCGAATTTCAAAGCATACCTGCCTCAAAAGGGAATATCAAAAGGATCATCTGCGGGGAAAACCCCAGAATGGGGGCCCCACGCGGAACCGACAGGTCGTATCGCTAGTTGATGCGGTCAGAACGTGGGGAAGGTTTGCTTTTGCTGATGAGTAGAGCAGAGTCAGAGAGATACAAAGTATAGTTTAATCCTGGTTATTGCGCTAGTCCATCTTGACAAGTCTGGCTGAATGTCAAAGTTTACCCAGCTTTTACTATTGTGGTCCGGTGGAAGTCCGAGGAATCGGGGATTATGCCGCCGGACTGATCACTTGTTGAAGTTACTATTTACCCCAACCCAGACGGCGCAGGTTTGGCCGAAGTTACCTAGGTAGTCTTCAACCCTCGGTGTTGCTGAGGTCAAGTTTGAAATGGGAAAAGCATTGTGCCGAAATATATAGAGAACGACAGCAATAATTCCACCCGACACAGTTATTCTATAAGAATCCTCGAACGAAGGCAAGGCCCTCCTCTATAATAATGTCAAGCTCTTCGGCCTTTATAACGCCAAGGTCCACTTAGGCCGCTAGGTAAGCTATGATTACCGAGGTAGTGTGAACCTTGTTTTAGCATAAACGGGTTGATATTACGCGTTATCCATTTAGTTACAAACTACTAGTAAGTCGAATTAGGCTTAGAGGTCGTAGGGCATATCTGTGGATATACAATTTACTATACTATGTTGGCAGTACCGCCGTAAAATACATTTGTGTCTATATACAGCTGTCTGGCATTCTTTTGTAGTTTGCATCGATCCAAGACAGGAGACCGGAGCTTATGCCCGGACGCGATATAAATACTGACAAGAGCTTATTCTTCATGTGGTCTTTGGTCATATCCGGCAAATTTGCGGGCCGAGATCTTCTGCTCAAACATATGATCCAGTTGCTCAAAGGTCCTGCCTTTGGTCTCTGGTAAGAAGAAGTAAGTCCAAACACAGGCGATGATTGAGAATCCCCCGAATATAAAACCTGTCTTACCCCGGAGGTTACCTTCATCGGGGTTTATCATGTAAGGCATGATAATCGTGATGATCAAAGTCCAGAAGCTTTGCGCGAAGAAACCAATGCTGACTCCGTATGACCGCAATCGAGTAGAAGACATTTCTCCGCAGATCACGTATCCAAGAGGTCCAAGAGTGAGATCATAAAAGAAGTTCCAGACGATAATCAACACGCACTGTCCCATAGCAATGGAGGAGTTGTAACGTGGTAGGACGTCAAGAATACCAATGACGAAGAGAATGGTAGCGAGAACGAGCATGCCAGGGAAGAGAGCCCTGCGACCGATAGTGTTGATGACCCACCATGAGCAGATGTTTCCGAGCACACCAACTGCAGTCACACCGACGCCCATGTCGAAGGATGAAGAGGTAGGGATGCCGGCAACTGTAGTTGAAAGGCTTCGTTAGTAAACATAAATAACTTGTTAACTTGGGAAAACTTACCTTGGAAGAAGTAGGTTGAGTAGCTGAGCACAAAGTTGACACCACTGAAAGAGTTGATGGCCCAAACAGAAATGATAATCAGTGTTCGACGAAGGTCAGTTCCTCGGAAACAATCCAAATAGCCAGCGGAAGATGCTGATTCCTCTTCTATGCGAACCGTCTCTTGGATTTCAATGAGCCAGCTGTCAATGCTCCCGCCAGTCTGGAATCGTTCGAGAGATTTCTTGGCCTCGGTATGCTTGCCCCTTTGGACGTACCAGTATGGAGATTCGGGGCAGAACCACACCCCGGCGAGAAGAATTGCCGGGAAAATCCATTGGAAAGCGAAGGGGATTCTGTACGCAAAATTATCTGGTCGGCCACCGAAAGCCTTAATGAGACAGTTCCCGACGAGCTGGCCGACCACAACAAAGAGATTGACCATGGCAATGGCGATTCCGCGAAGCACGACAGGACAAGCTTCAGAGCAGTAGGCACATGCGGTGACGAGGAACATGCCAAGTGAGATTCCGTTGATCAACTTTCCAGCAAGTAACACCCCTCGAGTGAATGCAAAGAACTGTAAGAAGATGGAGCCACTGGAGATGACACATGCGATGGTCAAAGTCATCCTTCGACCTACGTAAGGCGAGATAGGACCACACAGCAGACTTCCACACATTCCACCAACCGTGGCAATCATGTTGAAAGCGGCTTGCCATTCCGCTGGAAGGATAGTCCTGCCATCAGACTGGGTATATCCAAACACTGCGCGGAACTCGGGAGCGGCAAGAAGACCTCCGTTGATCTGCATATCGTAACCCCAGAGGATGGCAGAAAAGCAGAAGAACAGACTGTATAGCATGGCATTTCGGTAACTTGTCAGAGCCACCGTAAGGCTCATAACAGACCCGAAGACTTCACCAGGGTGATCAGACTTCTTTATATGAGTGGGATTCATTGTCGACGGGGTATCCTCCAGATGGACAGTTTCAACGGGTTTGTCTTTGTCAAGACCCATAATGCGAGGTACAAAAAGAAAAGACAAAAAGAGAGAGAAGAGAGAAAAACAGACGGACAAATGGACAAGAGGACAAGAGTTTCCAATGGAGATTTGAAAAGAGAATCGATCAAGATAGTCCAAAAGGGTCTCCTGCTGTTAGGTTAGGAGTTTGGTAAATTTAATACTGCAGGCTTCTCATGCCATGTGCCTACTACCTCCGCATTCTTCTAGCCCGACTTCAGGATCCTAGTTTTCGACCTCGGGTCATGCTAACAATCTGGGGAAGTTGGCTGACAACTTAGCAGACGAGCTCACTTCGAAGAAGGGGTAAAGATACAGGCTTGGACGAGAACAGACACTAAGGGTCTTCCCGATACTCCCGTCTTGATCCACATTTCCACGTGATCTGATAGAATTGGACATCTTCACCTTTTGTGGGCAACTGAAACAACTGAAACCGTTTATATTGCGATCTTATTGGTTAGAGAATAATCCATTCTCTCCGTAAAACCAACCCCACAAACCATCGGCTCTGATAGACCCGCGATACAAGTTGGAGAAACGGGGTTAACTACATACCGGGTCCTTTATTACATGTCGGTGAGTCTTTCACCTCGCCGTGTTTTTAAAACATGTAAGATAATCCTACCTAGGTAGTTAGGGCAAAATGCAGGTGCTAGAATGGAAAGCATGTGTGCAAGTAACAGATCTTTCACTGCTGGTCAGTACTTCTTTAACCCCTTTCTTATATTGTGTCAGCTATGCAGCTTCCGCAAATGTAGGGTCAAAAAAGAACATACTTTCTCTATACCTCTTCAACTTACTCCCAACTATGATCCGTACTTGTATTAATAGCCAATTCTACTCACATTCCTTTGCCCGTGTCTGTTTACGACAAAATGGAGATTCACTAGTATACTGTATACTGTATAGCACCAACCCATAGTCTTCTAGATCGGATCACGGAATTGCGATAGTATGACCGCGACAGGCCTTCAAATTGATTCCCATAATTTCCCTTAATTGTTAAAGCTCTATGGTGGGCTTACTTGCATATATGGCACTGTTCGTTGCCTATTCCGTGCATATATAAAACGAAACACGGAAATACGCATCTACATGTCCACGGGTGTAGATGAAGGTCAGTAAACAAGATTAGCATCAAGCGCCGAGACTTGGAAGAATCCCCCGGAACATACAGGATAAACTCTGAGATGTTACCTTACTGCATCTACTGCATTTGAGTGTGATCTGATGTTTATTACTTATGTCCTAACACACTTCAAGCATAATACAGCATCCTAACTATTCTAACCAGGCGACAAGAAGAGCAATGGTCTGAAGAGTAAGCCCCTAGCCATAGCTTTGATAACCAATGCATCCAAAGTCTCTAACAATCAGTGCCCTTAGTACCATCCAGTTACTCGGCCACCAATTCTTCCAAGTCACGTTCCGTCTCACCTTCCATTTTAGCTCCCCCGGTAGCCTCAACTATCCTCGCCCCCTTCTTTCTGTTCATACATTCATCACATCCATGACTTCGCTTCTGCATTAGCATCATCAATATGATGTCTTCTTCCAAAGGCCTTGACCTAGATGGAACTACCTCGGCCCTTGGAGAACGACGACTCGAAGATCTAGAAAAATCAGGTTCCAGCAAGAAGCATGTGTGTTTTCCGGATGAATTGCCTGAAGCAAAACCAAACCCCGTCGATGAGCTAGATCTACACCCCGCCATGACCACGGAGATGATCAACATATTTCGACAGAAGGGCACCGACTATCAGTCTTGGATCAACTCCCCAGAAGACACCAACTGCCAAAGACCATGTATTGTTTCACCATCCACACTACAGATGCAACAGCTGATACACCCCTCCGACGACAGACATCGATGGGACGTATATTGCAACGAGTGGGTGGGTGCACCTGAAGAAATCGGCGATCCTCGTCCACTCGATCTGCCCACTGGACTGGTTTACCACAAGCTATTCATGCGCAAACTCGGAGTCGAGAAAGATGGGTCCCTGGGCTGGAACAAATACCACGGACGTGTGGCACACACTGCTATCTTCGCTGACAACAATGTCAGACTTGATGGTCCTCAATGGTCGGAAATCGCTCAGGCTCACTACCAAGTTTTCTTTGATATCGGTTCTCTGAAATACGTCTTTCGTATGACGGTCGTCAATGAGGAGACATATACTTTTGTGGTGAAGGTGCTTTACCCGAGGTATGAGCTTGAGCTTGCTGGTGATAGTAAAGTGAGGGCTTGGCTGTATGATACTGAGGATTATCGGGAAATTATGGGGACGCCGTTGGGGAAAGCTGTCGGTGCCCTTGTTTTGGGTGCTTTTCCTAGGGGTACACGTCGGATTATTCAAATTCTGACTTGGCAATATGATGGCGACTTGCAGATGAGATTTGATATCTCACGACTTCCTCTGGGCCAGCACCAATCGGATTACATGTAGCCCTTCGAGGTGTATCTGTCCGTCAATATATCAAGTCTCGGCAGTCCTGTATAGACTTTCATGTAGCCACTACTCTCGGCGTTTTTGCCAGTATTTTATATATACTCCAAGTGTTTTAAGCTTGTAAATTTTGGTAAGTCCACCCATAATGTCCCAGTGCAATACTTTCCATGAGTAAAGGTTCCGGGGTGACTACAATGTGAAATCTGTACTTGTAAGGAGTTGTAGGGAGGAGTACTTGATATCACGAAGAAGAAAAAAAGCAAGTGCATTTTTTAATTAAATTTTAAATCACATATTGCGCTTTTGATAAAAAGAATACTCTACGCAAAGATACTTTACGGTTAGTCAATTTCTCGACGGGGATTAGCAAGACCATATGTCGCTGTCACTGCACAAGTGTTTATCGTCGGTTGAAGTTCAAGAAGCGAGACTGTACCAAAACCAATTAGAATCACAATCACAAATATATAGCCCAAGAATAGAGAATATATCCACTTACCGCCAGGAACAAGATGATCAAGTTAGACACAATAAATGCAGCGAAGATACCCAGATCCCGCCATCTATTATCAAAGGACATACTGAACGTCGCATAGAACTGTTCTCCAAATTTGTACGCACAGTACTTGCAAGCCTGCGCCGCGTCGTCGACAATGTATCCCTTACCATCGCCGTCAAAGAACGACTGCATGTACTCGCCACAGGTGAGATTGTCCGGGGCATTGAAAAGGTTCAACTCCGACTCCGCGCAAACCACCTCCCGACCTTGCAGCTCTGTAACAACCATTCCGCCGATAAGACGAGTGAATGGATCAAGGTCGTACAGCCATGCACGCCAGAAACCCGGCATCTGCGGCTTGGGGGATTGCCACGCCGCAGAATAGAGAGAAGATAATCACTATCGGCGGGTTGAGCTGAGACGCGATGAAGCTGTTCGGAGTCAAAGCGGAGATCATCTGGCCTAGAGTCACGGAGAAGATTTCTGTGATGAGGATTATGAGGAATTGGTAGCCGGCTCGACTGGACTCGGTTTGGAATCCTGGGATGTAGTACAACGGGAGGAAGAAGCAGACCGCGCACAGGATACTGTAGGGCATTTCGGCGAGGACCAGTGACAATGCAAACGCAAACTGGCTGTAGGTTTTTGATGCTGATTCACGGTAGAAGATTAGACGTGACATATCGTATCGTGGTTGGACCATCTGGAGAATGATAGCTGGGAGGACGGTGACGTTGAAAATGACGAAAATGCGGTATTGCAGTGAGGATCGAGAGTCGTCAAGGTTCAAGAACACAAGGCCCGTGATGATGGAAATTACAACATGTGTGTAAAGCCTGGTAAAACCATAGTTTCTTGAGCGCCAGAATGATAGATGTGTTCGTCGACCGACTACCTTGATTTGGTGCCAGAGAGGTGAAGCGTACTCCCTATCTACCATATTCTCGTCATGGTTATCCCGGACGGCCTGAGCACGATTTTGCTTGATCTGGATGATTTCCTCTTTGACTCTATCCAGTTCAGGAGAAGTCCGCCAGATATCACCCCAGTCACGGTCTCCGATGCGACGTGTTTGGCCAGCGCCGATGGCATCAAGCATCCATTCAGCCGGATTAGCATCCACGGGGCAGTCAGCTCCGTTTCGACGGAAGTATTCCAACAGAATCTGGGAGTCATGGCCAATATCACCGTGGTAGATGCATTCACCTCCTCTTTGGAGCAGAAGCAGACGATCGAAGCTTTCGAAGAGGGCGGAGTTTGGCTGATGGATGGTGCAGAGAATAGCCTGGCCTGCTGCTGCCAGCTTCCGAAGGAAACGGACGATGTTCCAGGCAGATTGGCCGTCCAGACCAGAGGTAGGCTCGTCCAAAAATAGAAGTAGTTCAGGCTTCGCCGCCAGTTCAACGCCGATTGTGACACGTTTTCTTTCTTCGACCGAGAGCCCAGTTTCAGGTGTACCAATGATTGCATCTGCCAGATTTTCCAGCTCCAAAAGGGTCAGAATTTCTTCCACGTAAGCGTACTTTTCCGATTGGGGTGTCTCAAATGGCTGGCGCAGATCCGCAGAGAAACGCAGCGCTTCTCGTACCGTCTGCATGTCCTCGTGAACATCAAGTTGCTCCGCGTAAGATGTACCTCTTTGGAAAGAGGTGCCCGGGGACTTGCCGTCGACGAATATATCACCGGTGACCACACCAATGTTCTTCCTAGCCGCCAAAACGTCCAGCAGCGTTGTCTTTCCTGCACCGGATGCTCCCATGAGTGCCGTCAACTTTCCTGGCTCAACATAACCGTAAACAGAGTTCAGAAGACGTCGGGTGCCGGAGGGCACAGGCACTTCGTAAGAGACATCCTCCCAGGTGAACACGGACTTGGAGGTAATATTGAGGTTTGAGCTTTCATCGGACTCAACAACCTTCGCCTGTCTGTTTGACTTCTTCTGCATCAAAGCCTCATTTAGCTCTTTCCGCTCGGCGTTTTCTTTCTGGTAGAAAGTGATGGTTTTGCCACCTGCGCCGAATTGAAGTGTTTCTCCAAAATACAAGTTGGAACCGAGGAAACCAATAATCAGAGCAATCATAATACCAAAGTTTCGCCAGAGATCGCCGTTGAGATAGCTGAAGGATTGGGCAATGTAATTGGAGCCCGGGATGACTGCCGACCCAGGCTCGCCTCCCGCTAGAGTACAAGCCTGGTGCGCAATGTCGCCATAGCCAGGTCCAGTTGGAACGAGTGAGTCTGTCGTACATTCCAGAGTAAGGTGTCTAAACTCGTTGACCATCAATGCAGCAAATCCAAGACCAAAGGGGTTGATGAAGTAAATCCATCGCAGCCACACCTGAGCGCCAGACCACTGAATAAGATATCCAGATGTCAAAACGAAGAATGTGATGATGACAGATGCAAATTTGATGGCATAATCGAAGTCAGGACATAGACATCCGACCGTTCGGAAGAACACTGTCATAGTCACGTATCCCTCGAGGATAATCAAGACAAATATAAAGAATGCCCCAGCATCTAGAGTCAGCCCACACATGAAGTACACGATGACACTGAATACGAAAATTCTTGCAATGGCGAACGCAGTGTCCACGATGATCTGAGCAATGAAAAGTGCGCTAGGTCTGTAGAACGTGAATGAGCGATGCTTGTTGACAATTGAGCGACCCATCATTGTGGCCGCAAGTTCCGAGAATGCTTGGAAGCCATTGAAAAGCAGACTGATGAATAAAAGACCTCCTCGAGTAAAAGCACCGGCACTGGTCTTGGGTTGGTTGAGCCATACAGTACCCAAAATTATAGCAATACCAACAGATGTCACCCAAGAGACGGTCAAAGCAAACTTGTCTTGCCATTTGAGGAGGAACTGCCGTTGCATCAAAGCCCAGGTTTGCAGGTGGAAAGGGATCGAGTATACAGATGATTCAGAAGTAAACTTGCGCTTCGCCTCTTTGTTGGCGATCTCGAAGTCATCGTAGATTTTCTTTTCCTTCTGAATCTGGTCACGGTAGGATTTCATTTCCTGGTCTAGTGTTTCACTGAATACAGATTTGTCAAAGGCTTCAACTAGCGCTTGTGGCGTTGATGGCACATCGTCGGCACTTCTTCCATCTTTGAACTCCCTTTCGAAAGGATCAGTGCATCCTGTCAAGTAGTCGGGAGTTGTCTGACGAGGCTTTTCGCGGAAGCCGAGGCCTTCGAAATAGGATCTTGCTTCGGAGGCAGGACCGAAGAATACCTGACGGCCATTGTCGATCACAAGGACCTTGTCGAACTGTTTGTAGATATTCTCAGAGGCTTGATAGAGTGACACGAAAGTTGTTGTTTTGTATATGTTGGTTAAAATCCGTAGCGACTTGGCGAAATCGAGGGCGGTTGAGGCATCCAGTCCTCGAGTGCTGTTATCCCAAGCCAATACAGTCGCAGAGGTGATCATCATTTCTGCAATAGACACACGACGCCGCTCACCTGTTCTAATTAGCTTCAATTCTTGCGGAGCTGTCTAAAACAGATTGCTTACCTCCAGAGACACCACGAATAAACTGATTTCCAATCACGGTGTTGGCAGTGTGCTCAATATTGAACATTTTCAGAAGCAAATTGGTCACTTTCTCTTTGAACTCGGCTTTCGACACACCGAGTGGGCGTTTCCCGGGTGTCTTCGTATCGAGGGCGAACCCAAGGGTTTGTTTTACGGTCAAGGTGGGCTGGTGAATATCATCCTCTTGATTGTAAACAGCTTCTCCACGGAATCTTTTGGAGAACAAATCTGAGTCAAAAGGGCCATAGAGGACCTCACCATCTATCCCGGTGTATCCAAACCGTTGGTTCGCGATCACTTTGAGGAAAGACGTACAGCCTGATCCAGGACGCCCAAGGACCAAGACCATCTCACCGGGGCGTGTGAGGCCCCGGAAACCTTCCAGGATGTTGTACTCTTGGCCTGTCTTTCGCCAACCGAAAAGGTCAATCAGTGTTCCAGGTAGATTGAGGAAATCGATGATTGCATCTGGGAATGTTTTGATATATGTCTTAACGCCACCCATTCCACGAACTGTCAGGTTGTCCCAAATCACACCTAGGAATATAGTCAGTACATATTTGTTCTCTCACGTGGAGAGTCTACCCACCGATATGCTTGTCTTTGATCCCAGCCTCTTCGGAGGCGACACGATCGCCACGAAGAGTCGTCTCCAGATCCCATGAATCATCAGATGTAGTAGAGCCCTCAGCCTTCTCGATATCTTTAGTGGTGACTCCCACCTTAGATACTCGTGATTCCTGTCGGGATAGTCTCTGGGCTTGGTGCGAGATGCTGGAGAATTGTTTGCTCAACTCGGAGAAGTCCTTCTCGGCGGTCGTAACATCGACACCCGTCTGGAACGAGGTATCGGCCGGTGTGTTGGCGATGCGAATTTCTTCCAGCTGACGTCCATAGCTGTGTGAATCCAGGGTATCTGCATCTGATTTACTGCTGGTTTCCGCCATGGCCAGCTTGTGGTCCGACTCGACGTTGGACGTCATTGAAGATATTAAGGTGTGCCGAGGGCCGATCCCGTATAAACTCTCCCCCCACGTCCACGGATACTCCCCGAGAGCGTGTTGTATTGAAGTACTTCCGGGACAGAGCGGGCAAAGTAAAATAAAAATAGAGGAAACGTGGAATAGCAACGTTTGAAACCCCTGAAACAAGTCGTTTACAGAAGAAGAAAAAAAAAAAAGAGGCTAGAAGATAGCGAAGAAGCTAAGCCCGAACAATCCTTGGCTTAAGTCGGGTAGTATCTCAACGGCCCCCTACGCTCTCCACCATGCCCTGGAACTAATTTTCTTTTTAGGCACAATGGGAATAGCGGTGTTCGATATTAGGCTTCGAAAGAAAATTACGTCCAAGCGAAACGCCCCTAAGCCCAAATAAATGTGGGGTCAAGCCTCCAAAGACGGCATATTCCGCGGTGGAGTGACCAGATTTGAAGATGCCAAGCGGGCGGGCTCCTAAACAGGATTAAAGCGTAAAAAGTACAGTCAACATGACTCGTGATGACTGGTGATCACCCTGCCTCTATGATTCTAAATTCAATCACATCTTGCAGAAGATCTTGTTCTAGAGCAAAGGGAACCGAGCGTTTACGTTATCAATCTAAGTTGTGGAGAAGAGCCAATTAGTGCCCTCCACTTTACGGAGTGTAGCAAGGCAGTACGGAGTGTATCGAACATTGATAGATCTTGGTTACCTTGAATGGTACATCGATGTTGAGAAAGCTGACATTCAATATCGCGAGCACGATTCATTCATAGGGGACACAAAGCATCCGAACATTGCCGTATATTGTATATACATAGTTGACCATATTCCCTTTAGGGTATCTAGATAACGATCTAGACTTTAAGTACTCCATACATGTAGGCAACTTCATAACCTGGAAATATTTTCACAAAATCAGAAAGAATTGGCAAATTGCGAATTATTTCTAGACCCGTTACCTTCAGGGCTCATCTGGTTAGCCCCGGGATATCTTCGGGCGGACTTACATATCGATATAGTAAGAATTGGTCGAAGGGGCCATATTTCAAGTATATGACACATATACCCTTGGAAGCAGTCTCAGACCCAATACATTTATGGGCGAAACACAATCCATACCTTCATTGGGTATCATTCCACGTGCGTGAGCCACTTTGCATATGTGGAAGTTCTGGACCAATCAATGCTGTTAATATATCCGCAAATATATCGCTTTATGTACGGAGGACTGGGTTTTAAGTCGTGTTTTTTTTTTTTTTTTTATGCAGCTGTCGCTTGGCAAAGGTCGCATTCGAGTATTTTACTGAAAGTAGTCAAGTAGCCTGGATGCTCACCTTACCAGCCTAAAAGAAAGGAACAAGAATATCCGGATCACGTGGTAAGTGGATCACATATTATCAATCTGTGGATTCCATAGATGATGCTAGCGCTAGTAAATAAAACTCTATTGAATATTGACAAATCTTAACCATGAAATTCGAGCCTGAAGGAGGGGGGAAGAATCGCATGCAATATATGGTAATTATTGGACAGGAGGTTGCAAGTTGCAAGTTGTGAATCGCGCATTTCTTGCAGTGGACCGGCACCGAGACCTAGCGAGTATGAATTGAATCACTTTACGCATAAATGCCGCAGGAAGTGGGCCGATGGGAGATAAAGGGAAATGGCGTGAATTTTCCGGTGGAATCCTGGGTTTGAAAATGCATCTGTAGTCTAGCGCAAAGAGAGAGATATATATACTACTAGAAGTACGACCCTCTCTCCCTCCCCTTTCCCCGTCTCCGAGGTGGCAGAACCACCTCCCTCCCACAAAACCGTTTTGAAGGCCACTAAGGTAAAGGGTAAGAACGTGCGTAGCGGGTGGATGGACAGAGTTTTTCAGTCTGTTTAAGACCCGAAGGTTGCTGGTCACTCTTGGTTCATTTGGAGACTTTAGTGGTATTCGTAGTACCACATAGAGCTTCCTATAGGTTCAAGCTTTATAGATATCAACCAGCAATGGGTCATAACCTCCACCTGCCGAGCAAGATTCGTGTCCTGTTGATGATTCATTCCATCAAAATGTTGACTGTCACACTAGCATTATTAAAAAAGAGACTAACTAAAAGAATCCCATTTTTCACTCCAAAACTGTCGTCCATTAATGGCAGCTGTGTTTTCCCTTTCCATCGACCTTTCCCAATTGATTCACTTGCTCCCAAGCGGACAATCCGACACAGATCGCAATCCGCCACAACATTCGACGACTGAGTCCCTCACGCCACACGCCCCAGATAAGGGTCAGAATAGAAATTGCCAGAAAGGTGTTTCGCAGTTTCTCGATGCCAGCAGTGGCCACCGAACCCGCAAAAAGAAAATCCAGGACAGCCTAGAAATTTAGCATATGTAACTAGTTAAGTCTAGCAACGCGAGAAAGAACATACTGGAAGCCAACAACACGAAGACGAGAGCAAGGCGGATCCTGCTGGTATATAGTTGACGACTAATTGAGAGAGTCTTTGTAGAAGAGACTCGTCATGGTCTGGGATAGACTTGAACGAGGCTTTCTCTGAGGGTTTGTCTGAGGGGCAGTCGCTGCATGACATGTTGAATATGTGGTATATGGACAATAGTCTGAACGGAAGTAAAATAACGTTTGGATAATGCAGTATGAGCTTAAGGGCCACAGGTCTAGAGATATATATATCACTGCGTGATTTTCGCGTCGTCCGAGAAGGTTCCACAACCCCTGGCTTTGCATCAACATTCCCCAATGCAAACAAGTCAAACACACCGCGGAACTCGCATGTCACTTGTGTGTGCCACTTTCTTTTTTACAGGGGGCTTGTCTATATTATTTGGCAACAGTTCACAAGCACAAAGAGTATGTTGTAGAAGTTGCAAGACGGTTCTCAGTACAACATACGGAGTACCCCGCAATGCGGCCCCGTCAACTACCAATAACCACCAATAATAGCCAAGGTCTTTGTGGGGGGCCACTTTCAGGTACGAAACAGTCTGACGGATCTGGAAGGCGGTATCGGGTATTCTATCCTCATATAAGCTACAAGTTAATAAAACACTGCAAGCAATCAAAGCAATAAAGTGTTGCGATGTCCCACATCGAGACGTTGGCCGACATGCACGTATAGATCATAGACGTATAGATCATAGATACTACTTAGACACCTAACCTGTCGCCTCAGAGTTCAAGCCGATGCTCTCTTTTACAGCGATCAAAAAGTGGTAAGGGATGAGCAGTAAAACAGAGAGGGAAAGCTATCTCGGCCTGAAATACAGCGCATATGCATCAATGCCCAAGTCCGGGTCAATCTGGGACACCCACCGGAATCACTTGATAACAGTAGCCCGTATCTGGAGGTGTGTATAGTACAACGTCAATTGATACATTTACTCGCACATAGCTATGTCACAGTTTCGATTCGTGATTCGTGAGTTACACTGATTATACCGATAAACATACAATGTGCCGGGTATGAGGGGATGGATGCACTCCTCCGAGATTCCCGAAGGCGACTGATCAAGGCAAAGCGAAAAGCGTTTATGCCGAGATCTCCTTAATCTGTGCCTCGAGTTTCTTCATATCACCGCCAACAACGCGGTTGACCTCCTTGCCATCCTTGAACACCACAAAGGTGGGCATAGCGTTGACGCTCAGTTCCCGAGCGACACCCTGCAGCTTGTCCACGTCCACCTGGAGGAAACGAACATTTTCGTATTGTTCGCTGAGCTTGCCGACAACGGGGGCGACGGCCTTGCAGGGTCCACACCAGGTTGCGAAAAAGTCAACGACGACGGGGCCGGAGGAGACGAGGGCTTTGAAGATGACTTGGCTGTTGGGTGGATATTAGAATCGAACATATTGAGCGCAGAGTCAAGAATGTCTTACTTGTCGATCTCGGTGACCTTTCCGTGAGACATGGTGGCTGCTGAGCTCGAGTTGCGCGACTTGAAGAAGAGTCGGATAGCTTATGAGGGGTTAGTTTTTGATTGTTTTGTTTAAACTGAATGTGGGCCAAAGGTGTTGTTGGTTGCGGGCAGACATCGCGGGGTGTAGTGCGTGGCAGTACTTACCAATGTATATCGCAGTGAGAATTAGAACGGTCTTGAGCTCCATCTTCAGTTGTCGTTCCTGAGGTCTTTGGTGGAGCGTCGTGTTATTTCGCGGGACACGTGACCGGGAACTATGCCCTATCTAGAGGTACGTCGATCACGACATTTGAGAAGAGATGAGGTTTCAATTAAGTCTCAGCTAACAGGGTCTTACTATGATCAAGCTAGATTTGTGCGCCGGGGCTTCGACGAGTTTAATGTGACTGCAGCCACCAAAAACCTCTGCCATCAATCGACAAATAGTGTGATGCGCTTGCTTTCCCACGTGCGATATTGATAGATCTAGAAACAATGCTATATATTTTGTACATTCCCTTCAATCCTAATTCTAAGGGAATTGTGCTATACGTACTATGTGGTCGACAAAGATAACCAAGGTAATGAATATCAAAAAAAAGAGCGGGTCTAGGCCAGCATACCGGGTTATCTTGTTTGTAGGTTTCAGCCGGTGATGCATCCCTATAATACCCCTCGCAGGGCGTGCCATAAAGGACTGGTCTTTTTTATTTTGAAATTTTCAGGGTGCGTGATTTCGTATGTTGTACTGCATTCTTGGGTATAAGGCCTTCGGGTTTATGATAGCTCCAAAGCGGGATGAATCTCTAGAAGGTAAATTCTCAAGACATGATGCTTAATATGTGGGACCTAAGTTGATTTACTTGCAGGACAACCCTAATTAATGTTGATCCTATTATTAAGTGCCGATGATCCTTGGCCTCTTCACCAACCGCATTGAATGCAACGGACTTGGAAACAACAGAATCTCAGGATATCTTTATTAAACTATACTATTACGGCAAGACGTATGCAAGACGTATGCAGCTATTCTAACACAACATGACGCTACATAATGAAGACCTGCCTCTTGACTCAACTTGGACCTGACGTATAGGCCTCCTAGTGCGAGTTTTGAGCTTGGGAATGCTTTCGGTCTGTGAATTCTACGATTGGCTGTAGACCTTTTATTGCAATTGTCATAGTCTATGCCATTTAACTAGCAAGCCTTCCACTGGGTGTACACTATGTCTCACATTCTTTCTGATAAGGTGTACTTATGGTATGTCTCGGCTTTGGAATGTAGCGTCCAGGTGCTCCACCTCAATATACTCCGCCTCATGGTCCATATCTCTATCCTAATAGCCATGGACTGAACCTAGCAAGCAACACTGTCCTTTCCTTTTACTCAAAATCCGCTCGACATGAATTTGCAAAATACAACCTCCAAAATAGAGTCTGAACCTAGCTCTAATGACACGCTCACCAATTCGACTACCCAACACATTGGTACAAACAATGCCCCGAGCACGACCGGATCCATGTTACGACTCTCACTATGGGTCTCGTTTTCCGCGTGGATCTCGAATTTCGACAATGGCTACGCCGGCACGGTCCTCATCATGCCTTCTTACAACCACGCATTTGGAAACTGCGAGCAATTCCTTGACCCAAACACGTATGCCACCGTTCAGCATTGCTCCTTGACGCCACTACAATAATCCATCATAAGCCTCAACTTCCTGTTCATTGCCCTTGGAGGCGGGATAGCGGGCGTCACCGGTCAATACATCGGACGCAGGGGGTCAATCCAGGCTGGCTGCGCGTTAGCTATCATTGGTGCCGCCGGAATGCTTGGCACCAGTGGCAGCTTCTTGCGCTACATGGTGTGCAGGTCGATTAGTGCGGTGGGCATTGGACAGCTGATGGCAGCCAGTGTGACATATGGCTCCGAGTGCATCGTTGCCAACAAGCGCGGGTTATCTTTAGGGTTGTATAATGTTGGACTCGCCGGGGGAAACGTTGGTGCTTTCGCCGTGTGTGCGGGTTCTGCTCGTCTAGAGCCAATGAACGATTGGCAGTGGAAGACACCTATTCTGTGCCAAATACCCCTGGGAGTTATTCTAGGTGCTGGTATCTTGATGCTCCCTGAATCTCCACGTTGGCTCATGGGACATGGCCGAGAGGAGGAGGCACGGAAATCGTTCGGCGCGCTATACAACCAAAGTCCATATTCGCCGGATATCACTGCGCAGATTGATGATATCAGAAGCAATCTTGAGAGCGAGCGTGCAAGCCGCAAAGCTGTCTCGTTCTTTGATATTTACCGCAGCAAGCATATCGCTCGCACCTTGACATCTGCCATGATTATGGTTGGACTCGCCATTACTGGTATCCAATTTGTACAACCATACGTTACACTGTTCCTCAAGGGAGTTGGCATCAGTGACCCGTACTTAATCAATGTCATCATTGGTTTATGCATCCTAGGAGGATCATTATTTGGTCCGTTCATTGTGGAATATGGCGGAAGGAGAGTTGCCATGCTTTGGGGTTATGTTGTCATGGGTGCCTGCATGCTCACTCTTTCCTCTGTGAGCACTGCTCTCAAAAGGGATGCAAAAGCCGAGATCGTGACTGTTGTTCTTCTGTGCTTGTGGGCTTTTGTCTTTGGCGGGACTATTGCTGCGAGTGCTAACCTATCTTCTGTGGAGATGCATAGCGTCTCACTTCGCACCTTCGGACAAGCCAACACAACGGTATTCTATGGTATCTTTGCCTTTGGTGCAACATTTTGGACGCCTTATATGTTGGATGCGGACCACGGGGACATGGGTCCCAGCGTGGGCTATTTCTACGCAGGCGTCACTGCTGTTATCTGGATTTTAACTTTCTTTTTTATGCCAGAGACTGCTGCAATTACATTGGAGAAGATTGATGAATGCTTTAATTCAGGAGTCAAGGCGTGGAAAACGTCACTACCCAAAAATCAAGCTATTGCTTCGTCTCAGCAACGGAGCGTGACAGGTGGAAAGGTTGAAGCTTAACGAATGGCACCGAGCCATGGCCAATTAACCGTGGATATCATATAGATATAATATTTATATTCTAGTACATAATTCATGACTACCAGATATCGTCAGTTAGTTAAGTACAGTGTATTATACTTACAGAAACCTCAAGTGTATAGGGAATGATATACTTGAAGGCAGAGAAGCCGTCCATGATACGTGTGCCTTGAACCGCAATTAAGATCTGACATATGAAAGACAAGCCCTAGGCAATGGTTTAACGGCACCTGTCTCAACTCTTCTTTTTTCAGTTTCATTGATCCCTTTTGGAAGATGGTGTATAGATCATTCACGTGACCTCCTGGCCCTAAGAAATGCGCACCCCCGATATATGCCTACTTGTAAGAAACACTAAGAGATGAATTGAATGTCACCAATATGAAGTGAGGATAGCCTAGTTTAATGAGTCTGCAGTCCAGGGCTAAAATATGCCGTAGCTCACGGTGATCGGGACATAGACAAAATGGCAGGGAATTTCGATAAATAGCTGGTACATTTTTAACTAAAGTTATATCAATTAAAGGGCTGTTGTCTGCTGAGACATGAAAAAGACTTTCTTGGTGGTAAAAAACGGAAATGACATTGTACTGCTGGCGGTTGAATATTTTAAAATGAGCCTATAAAACTTCACTTACGCCGACATAAGCGTTATGTTATGTTGACTTTACTCGGTGACCACTGCCTCGTTTGTGCTCTTTCCACATGCAAACGACGCCCTTAAATTCTCTTCTCTTCTTGCTCTTCTTTCATCTTTCTTCCCTCTTACACTCACCACAGACATTTCTTCAGTCAGAAAAAACGCACCCCTTTGATCTGAAGGAACCATCCACAGTGAGTTGATAATATTTCCTTTGGAGAGATGCAATGATTTGTTAACAATATCTTCTTTGAAGTCACAAAGCTCAGCCATTTCAATCATTCTTACAACCACTCGTGCTCCTTCCTCGGCTATCATGTCGTTCTTTTCCAACCCCCGTCGTGGCGGCCGGCATGATGCCGAGCCTGAAATCCCTCCTACACCGCGCACTCAGGCCACCTGTTTGCCCAAAGAGGCTCCTGCAACCCTTCTCAATGTCGCAAAGCTCAAGCCAGAGTCTAGCCTTACGGTGTGGGGAAATGAGATCGTTCACGTCTTGCAACCCTTCAAGCTCGATGGACTGGTGAACCTTGATCTCCCAAGACCCCACCCAGGAGACATCAACTACGACCGATGGAAGTTCTGGACTCTTGTTGTTTCTAGCTGGTTGTTTAACCAGATCGAGGTCGCACTTCAACTGAAGGTGAAAGCACATTCGAACGACCTCGCCTTCGCCGACGAAATATTCAGCACTATCAGGCTGCTGAGCCTGCGCAACCAGTCCAACTTCGTTGCCAACGAGTTGAAGAAATGGGAGGAAATGAATCGCAATAACTTTGCCACGCCCTCGGACTTCATTATGGCTTACCAGAACCAGTTCAATCGTCTGAAGACAGAGGGCCACGATCCCTCTTGCGACTTTGCGCTACGTCGACTTCTGCAGGAACTTCACGGGGAGGTCTTGAAGGTCCCGTTCATCGAAGAAGAGGTGAAGAATTTGGGACGGCCTGTGGACTACCAGCTGTTCGTCTACTACTGCAAAGTCTTGGTTAACGAGTCCCGCCAGCCCAGTGTCGCGCCCGCTGATGACATCATTGGAGGTGGAAGTGCAACAGGCCAAAGCCAGAGCGGTGGTCGAGACATCTCCTACCGCGGCTGGAGACAGAGCACCAAGGGAAAAGGCCAGGCATGGGAGTAGGTGTTTCGCCTTTCGCACCTCCCGGACCTTGGGATTAAACAAGGTCATGGAAATGGGCACCTACTATTCAGGATTTTACACAATTTAACTATCAGAAAAGATGAAAAACCCAAAAAAAAGGTCATTGCTACAGATTCCTGGAAGCATTTACACAGGACATAGCAATGCGACTAATTTTCTACCTCATCATTTCCATTCCGTAAGATCACCATAATTAGGATTCTACTGCGCCTGTCAGCAAAATTTGACTAAATCGTATGAAAGCAAAAGGCTAAAGCGTCCATTTGCCTTGCTTCTACGCTGAGGCACATTTAAAAGATTGGCCAAATCCAATATCAATGACGCCTCATTTGGGTTATTCTAGAGCAAATTCTGTATCCGGAGCAGACGTAGTAGACGACGATGTCCGTCACATTTCTAGATATATAAAATGTACCCCGTTGTTCTCAGAGTATGCACTGCGGCCCAATTATTATTGAATCAGTCATGATGGCCTGCATGCCGGGGATTAACCCGCACGAGCATTTCACCCCAGCAACGACATTCGACTGCAATATAATGACAAGGACAGGGAAGGGGAATACTGGCAAGAAATGCACAGACAAGGAATATGCTACTAGGTGATGTCCTGCTGACGCTAACCTCGATGCGAATACGAGGCTGAGGCTGATGCAGACGTGCCCAACCACGCTGCTGACAAAGATGTTAATGAATCACCTAGACATTTGCGAGGACGTTGCTATCCAAATATTTTGGTCCATAACTAACATCGAAACTACGAACCCTCGACGATATTAAGATGATTGAAATCCAACCGAAAAGGGTGCTGGTCAGACCAACAGTAACCTTCGTGACGATCAAGCCAAAACCGGAAGTAAAAGGCACGTCAGACAACAAGACGAAGAGCAAACCAGAGACGAAGAACAAAACAGACACCAGGAACAAAACAGAGACTAAACCCAAGCCTAAGCTGGAGACGAAGAACAAAACGGAGACAAAGCCCAAGCCCAAACCTGAGACGAAGAGCAAACCAGAGACGAAACCCAAGCCCAAACTGGAGACGAAGAGCAAGCTGGGGACGAAGAACAAAACGGAGACTAAACCCAAGTCCAAGCCGGAGACGCAGAACAAAACGGAGACGCAGAACAAAACGGAGACGAAGAACAAACTGGAGACGAAGCCCAAACCAGAGACGCAGAACAAAACGGAGACGAATAACAAACTGGAGACGAAGCCCAAACCAGAGACGAAGAACAAAATGGAGACGAAACCCAAACCCAAACCCAAGCTAGAGACGAAGAGCAAGTCGGAGGCGAAGGGCAAACCAGAGACGAAGAGCAATACAAAGCCCGACGCAAATCCCAAGTTAAGACCAGAGGCGAAGACCAAGATAGAGGCAAGGATCAACCCAAAACCAGGGACAAAGAAAACGCCAGACGACGGGAAGACGAAGACTAAGCCAGACGCAAAAGGAAACCCCAAGCCGGAGGCAAAGACCAACCCGAAGCCAGTATCGAAGACTAAGGCAACCCTAGACCCAAAGAAGCCAGACACGAAGACGAAGAGCAAACCAGAAACAAAAACAAAGTCAGAAAGAAAGCTAAAGGTCGAGCCGAAGAAAAAGACCAACCCGGCGAAGAATGTAACAATCAATTTGGAGACGACAACGAAGATCCAGCTGGGAGGCTAGAATATGCTAGCGCCATCAAGCCCATCAAACTGAATGGAGGAAGATGTGCTGGTGACGACAAAGCTGACATCAATATTGGGGTGGATATTCCAAATACGACTAATAAGACGAATAAGAAGCTCATACGGATGAATTCAAGAAGAACAGTGAGATGGACTTCTTCAGCCAAGGCCGGAATGGGTAGTTGTTATATCCCGAAGCTTATAATTTGTGATCTAATGCTCATTTGCAATGTCCAATCGAATTGTCATTGAATTAGGTGCATTCCCGGCTCTCAACTCGTCTTTCTGGGGATGGTAAAACCCAGGTGCTCCATGGGCCAGTTTTTATCAAGCTTTTGTACCCTTCATTGTCTTTTGCTGCCTGGTAGTGGCAGCGTGAAACAAGTATCAAACTCGCGTGGGATAAGGAAATAAGAAGAGGATCGAACGCAGTATCGGAATTTTATAAAGGATATTTCGTCTCATAACTGCCTAGTCTTCGCTCAGCAGCCTATTACGGATATGTTGAAGGCAATTGATTTAAACGAAAGCCAATCGATTATATATTCCTACATCTGGTACAGCAGTTTATCACCACCAGTGCGCCAGTTGAATCCTGCTTGAAATATTTCCTTAGTTGAGGTTTATCCTCAATCCCAAGCAAACACTAATTTTTTTACTCGTCCAGTATTTCGAATGTAAAGAAGGACTGCCAGGCAGAGCCTAAATTCAATATGTAAATCACATAGCAATAGCTCGAGATATTCACAGAGAAGCCCAACAGGGGCAAAGAAAAGAAGTAGCCAGCACGCTCAGATGAAAAATCAGCAAGAATGGTAAGAAAAACCGAAGCCGGTAGCTCGTAGACCGGTAGTGACAAGATAGTTGGGCGCTCATGTACATGCAAGGAAAGGCGGCCTGTGTATCGAAGGACACGGCAGGGAAAGTTGAGATAATGACTGGAGAATGTTCAGAATGAATGTGAGGAGGAATAAATATCAACAGTAAGGGAACAGCTCTGCTTGTTCCCATAACTCCAGGATAACACCCTGATAAATGGTTGAGAATAAAACAAGTTGGAAAATAAAGGAAATGGATTTTGTGTGGTGTTGGTGTTGGGAAAAGACTTCTCTCAGGAGACAAGTGTAGAGAGAAAGGGGAGGAGATAGGGAGAAGGTTTGGTTTGGCTTTTATGTGCAAGGAGGGATAACCATTGTCGCCCTTCACAATTCGGACTTGGCTTGTTCTTCGCCTTCCCATTGGGCTTTGCGTTTGCCCATCATCTCTTCAAGGACGTCGAGACGTTGCCGGGTGGTACGGAGGGCATGGTCCATCTCACGGTCAGAGATCTTCTCTTCGCGAAGCCGTGCAGCGAGCTCACGCTCATCACTTGTACTAACTCCAGACGACCTGCGACTTGGGTGTGGCTCAGGCGATCGGTAAACGTTCGGAAAGACCATTCCGTCCATACCAACTCGATCTTCAAGCCAGTTCCAGAGCTCAGTCTCTTCACGTCGCCACATCTCCTCGTATGCAGCCAGTCTCTGGGGCAAGCCGTGACCGGGACAGCCGACTTCATGCGAAAGTGTGGAGGGTGGTGACGAGGATCGGAAGAACGCGATGTAGAACAGGATTCCGATAATTAGGATAGCGACGTTGCTATTCCACAGGGGGTTGAGAATGCTGGTAAAGGGCTCTAGGAGGGGGCGGATTGGTTCGAATAATCCCCATGATTCTCCCTTGCCGGCGTTGGGGTCCACAGTAACCTTCAGTGAAGCAGCTGCGATCGACTCCCGCCCTGCGCCGTCGGCCTTCTTGCGCTTTCCTTTGCCTCGTCCGGCGCCATTGGCACGCCCGCGGGGAACAACTCCAACCTGCAGGGCTTTGACAAGCTCATTACCGAACGTCGTTTGCCCGTCAATTGCGCCTTTCTCGATAGGGCCTTTCAGCCAACTTTTGCCTGACCATTCAATAGTACAGGTCATGAGGAAGCGAGTTTGGTTGCCAGGAGCCCATGTAAAGAGGTACTTGGTCATGGTAGCAAAAACGTTGCCACTGGGAACATCAGGTGTTTGGGTGCTCAGAGTGACAAGAACGGCCTTTTCAAGGTCTAATAAGTCCATGGTCTCGGTACTCATACATTTCGTCTGCTTCGGACCAATGGGGGCATTGAGAGGTTTGATGTATGAGTACTTTCTAGTTGGGGATTCGGTCGTTAAACCCTTCGCTGTTCCCTCGAACTGTAGCTCTCCACATTTTTGATTGTCGGTAAGGAACTTGGCCATAAACTCGCCGGACGCTGGGCCAAAAACCAAAGAGAAGACCTTGCCGAGCGGTGCCGGAATTATTTCATCTTTGATGACTTTCTCGTACTGACCGTTGGCGTCGACGTATTCGGTGGGTGCATGTGTAGCCGGGCCTGGGAAATCAGCAGGCGCATCCTTGGAAGTGCCCTTGTCACCGTTCTTTTTATCGCCGTTTCCATTCGTGCCGGCTACTGGCACAGCTGCATTCGCGGATAGACTGGAAGCCTTGCGGCTTAATCCTTTCCGTACTGGTAATGACGCTGTACTGGCATTGGCACTGTCACCGGGCTCGAAGAAGCTATCGGCATGGTCTCCTTCCTCGTCCTCATCGTATATTTCATCTTCGTCCGTGGCATCGCTCCCGGACTCGCTCTCCTCCTCCTCTCCCTCCCCAACCTTCTCTGTCTTATCACCGGTTCCATTGGTCACACGGGTTCCGTTCACAGAGCTCTTGATGGTGGGGTGGTTGATCTTCCAAATGTTAACCATTAGGTCATATGTGGACTCTCGACTGAGCAAACTGCGGAAAGTGTGACGCGCGTGGAGTGTCTGAATGGCAATAGCATTGGGAAACACCATGGCTGTACTCTCCTTTTCAATAGCAACAACCTCATCGAAGCTGATCACTAGAGTCGTGACCCATCCTAGAATGTTACTAGAGAAACAGATATGCCCTTCTGAGATGTATATGCGGCCGGCAAGAATGATCTCACGCTGCAAAGCACAGCTGTAATCCTCGATAAGATAATCGTCTTCAGGTACACTTCGGAACAGTTGGTGAAAGTCCCGATTGCGCTTTTTACTCGCAACCGCGAAGCCAGTCAACCGAGGTACACTGGAATTGACACCAGGAGCACCAAGTGCGACGGCGTTGATGCCAATCGCTCCGATTGTCGAGGTTGTGGCCCCAGACGAGCCCCGATGGCGCCGGGCAAGTCTACTGCGCACACTACCTGTGCGTCTAAGGCCCCCACTCAGGTCACCATCAACGACACTACCACTGGGGGGTGTTTGATCACCCATAATTGGGCCATCTTTCGGAAGTGAGGTGGTAGACTGAATCTCCAGGGCCTCTTCTGTCGGCAATGAACCATCTGAGGGCCTTGCGTATGCTACTTGAACAGCGCGCGCTGCGCGTTTGTCTTCAAGTTTGGCAGCTTCCTCGTCTCGCCGGGAAACAGCTGTGTTTTTGCGCTTGTCAGTTGGGTTCCCTGGTTTTGTAATCACCACGCCATCGGCAGTCGTGATTGACTCACCGGGTCGCGCGTCCATGTCCAGATGGCTGAAGTTCAGATCGCCTGCCCCAAGAGTCTCTACAGCAGATGGTCTCCCTTCGGCAACCTTGCTGCCGTTGTCTGACGTTCTCTCGCCATCCTCCGAAGTGGACTCATTGACAAACTTATCAGCATCGGCAGGAACAGGTTGGGCAACTGGACGATTTTTCTGTTGTGCGTTGATGGTGTTGCTGAAGGAAGTGGCAGCGTTTTGCGCCACTGAAAACACGGAGGAGAAGAAGCCGCTTTGCTGGGCTGAGGGCACATTCTTCGCTCCGGGAGTCTTTTCTTCAAGAGGTGTCAGTGCAGACACCGAGTTGGACAATTTGCTTGGCCCGTGAGCTGCAGAAGCGGACCGCACCCGGCGGTGGGAGATCATGTTTCCAGAGGGGCTCACGGTAGTGACTCCGGAAGATGGGGAATTTTCAGATTTCAGAGACTCGGGCGAATCGGTAACATTGTTGGACAGGATCTTCGCACTGAGAGGGTGGTACTCGGTTGGTGTTGGAGGGGTTACAGTTGTCGCTGGCGCAGGAATAGCGGTATGAGGTGGGGTGTTCGGCATGGGGCTCGCTTCAAGCGAACGAGGCTTGTCGTCTATTATATCCGTACGAATCGGCGCAGGCACAGGAGGGACATCGCCGGGGGCTGCCTGTGCTCGTTTCGATGATAGACTGCTCCGCCGGCTGCCTCCAAACAGACCCCGCCCGCTCTTGTTGCCCCCGGACTTAATTGATGAATCCTCAGTGTCATCATTGGCGCCTTTCTTATCCGAGCTGAAAAAGCGTCTTCCAGGAGATGTACCGCGTTTCTTGCCATTTGCGTCCGTGGGGACATCCAATGCCATACCCGATGTTGCGCGCCGGGGCATTCTTTCGCTTGGGTTTGATTCTGAACCAGTGGCACTCAGACCACTAACAGCTGATTCGGCATCGGCATGAGGATCTTCCGTGTTTGCGGCATCTACCGATTTGGTCTTGAATAACGGGGAGGATGAGGTGTAGAATCCGGCATGGGAGCTATGCGAGGTGAGCGGCGGAGGTCTAAATGAAGCTCAGCTGGTTAGGAGTAGTCCATGATAATATAAGAAGGTTAGTTGTTTTCAACTTACCCGTCCGGCTCTTCATCATCGGTCAACAGACTATTGCCCTCGCCCTCCGGCGCAAAGCTCTCTCCGTTCGATGACGGAGCTGCGGAGGTCCCATCCCGAGACTGATTGGATCGGCTTTCATGTAGGTCGTTTTCCAAAACCACAGGCGGCACCGGCGGCTCGTCGGATTGTTTCTGATTCTTCTTTTTACTCTCTTTCCGTCTCCGACGCGCTTCGAGTAGCTTTGAGAATCCACTAGGACCAGCCTTGGGATCTACTACTTCTCCGCCCTGGGTTTTGGGTCTCTCGAGGGTAGAATCCGGGGATGAGCGACCATTGCTCTCGAGTGCACTTGATTCTGCAGATACTGTCCAGGAGCGGCGCGATCTGTTTTCACCTCTCAAACTTGAAGACGAAGATTCGGCCATAATTGAAGGAATGTAGAGGGACTGAGAATCGGGGGGTTGGTGCGGATAGACCGGACGAGTCAGGGGAAAGTTGTCATGAGGTGTGTATGTTGAAGATTTTCTCTTTCTCTTCTTTTTTGGTAAGAGAAGTTCCGTACATCGACGGAGAGACCAAGTGAAAAGAGAGAGAGACGTGTTGAATTGTCCGAACATCCCCCCCTGGAGCTCCGTAACTTAGTCACCCGCCAAGTTAAAGATGGGGGCCTGAAACTTGAGACTTTTTGCTGTTTTTTTGTTTTTTGTTTCTGATTTTTTGATATTTCTGATTTATATTGTTGATAATATATTGTCTGATGTCTTTTCTATTCTTACTATTTCTCCAATTCCCTTTATTCTTTGTAGAGTATAGCTATAAGCATCTAATACTTCAGCTCCGCTTCTCCACCGTTTATAGAATGTGGATGTGACTTGACGTTTTTCGCTGTTTTCGGGGTCTATTTAATTGCATATGGCATATATGTAGCATCTAATCTGTGATTCTAATAAGTTAATCTAAGAAAATTGCTTTGTTTTCAACTTGAAGAGTTCTCTGATGTACAAAATATACTTGGTGTATCCTCCGTGCGACTGTCAACTCCCAACCCCATTCACTTACTTCACCTACTTCACTTACTTCACTTACTTCACTTACTTCACTACACATAACGCCACTTCTCCAACATTCCCCAGATAAATCCCAAAGGAATGCACCTTGTCTTTCTCTCTGAACTCCTACAGAACTTATTTTCGTCATGGAAGTAGCTCCTTTGGCCCTGGTAAGACCTCAACCCCTCATTTTCCAGGATATTCTAACCCCAACAGGCCCACACTCATGCCCGGAATGCCGTGCTAGAGACTCGCAAGGCTAACCCAGTTGCTGCCAGCGAGGAGCATGATCTAGCCGCTGGTGAATTTGCAACCGCTACACAGAGCAGTTCCGACCATGAGGTGAGTCTTGATTAAGTAGAAGATCTACCTCCCCGCTCGGCTCCAAGCTAACTCGTCATAGGCGCTACGGACCCTACGTTTGCTCGAAACCCACCACAAGAAGCTTGCCGAAATCCTCCGATTCCAGCATGAACATCCAACTACCCCCCTGCCGAAACGGCATCTGCTACTGCCTCCTCCACAGTAGGGACCCAGCAGACCGCAGCGGAGTTTGGGGGCACAAAGGTCGCAAGTGTGAACCAGGATGCACACCTACCACCAAGATTGGTGGGCAACACTCGTCTACCGAGTCGGGATAAGTCCTCTATTGCTAGTAACCTGGCATCCGCCCGAGGAATCCCGTCGCACCCCCGACGTGGATCGCCAGTGTCACCAACACTTACATCGCAACATGTCGCAGCAAAAATGACCGAACCTCCACTGAGGGCTAAAGCCGGCGAAACAAGGCTACGTGACGGACCAGCCAAAAATCGACACAGTCGTGCCTCGGCACCTAGACAACCATGGTCTCCTCCGACACCCAGTTCCACTGAGGTCATTTCCCAGCAAACCGTACCCCCCAGTGCAGCTGAATCCGGAGCATCGAAAGATAAGCCTGCGATTGCCGATGAAACATTCAACCGTTTCTACTCAGCCTTCGGTGGACTGGTCTCTAAGGTGTCTGGGCCTTTGGCATTCGCAGGGATTCAAATGGGGTCTGCCGATCCAGTCCAGGCGGAACAAAGCCACAAGTCCTCAGCTGAGGTAAAACTGGATCGTGAGCGTGTTGTTCTAGATCGCTCCATGACTGCGGGTGAGCCTGATGTGAACAAACTATTCTCTCGAGCCGCATTGCGGTCGATTCGGGATGGATCTGGGGCAGGTCCCGGGAACACAGCAGAGTCATTCTATGTCGTCCCAACCACGGGCGGGACTATGTCATACGCAGGAATCCTCACCAGAGCTGAAAGACAGGCACGCAGGAGCAGCCTCGAGGATGGCGACGACGACTTTGTGGATGCGCGAGAGACCCCCTCGTCTCCTGAAATGCGTCACAGTGCCAGCGGTTCGCGCATATGGGCAGGTCGACGCGGCGCACCCGATAAGCTTACCACCCCGCAGACACAGAAGACAATGGAAGAGATGCAGGTAGAGAATGAGACATTGAGGGGCTTGACCGATTCGCTCGCAACACGATTGCACATGTGGGAAGTGAGCGCGCAATCTTCGTCGATGGCTCTGCAACAATCAATCCGAATGATGCACCGCCAAAGTGGAGGGACGCCTGATTATTTCCAACCTTCAACCGCTACTACCTCGCCTGTGGCTACGCTAACTGCGCCGCCGGCTGCGGCTGATACTGACGCTCGGATCAAAGAACTCGAAGAGCAGATCCAGCGTAGTGAGAAGAAACTTGAAACCGCTTCTCACGAGAACGACAAGCTCAAAAACGTTCTTGGGCGGTATCGAGATCGCTGGGAGAAATTGAAAGAGGGTGCCAAAACTCGGAGAGCGGAGGGTCGTTCCGGGGACAGTCAGAGTAATCCGCCTCCCAGTGGTGCTAGCAAGCCGTCGGAGATCTCTTCATCTCCAGATCCTGGTCGAGGTTCCTCTGCTGCTCAGGCAGAATCTCGTGCTGCAGGTGATAGTTCGGCATAATCTCGCAACATCCATCCTCGGTCGTTGGGAGCAGCGTTCGGTCCTCTCTACGGCTTGATCCTCTTTTAATGAGATATCCCCATGACACTATTTTATGAAGTTTCGGATAAAATCGATTATCATCCTTTTTTTTTTTCTGAATAGTTTATTTAGTAACTACTAGACTTCTCATCTAAACCTAACTAATGGAATTATCCGGAGCAATATTATGGGGTTAGATAGATGAAGAGATGATTAGTATGTAGCCTTGGGATACGAATAGGAGAAGATATAGAAGAATTCGACTGGATATCTGTAATTTCTCCAGTCTTTAGTTTTCAAATATATACATTCAGTGATCTAACATATCAGACTATGTACTAGGAACTCATGTCCCTCCAACATAAACCTCTCATCACTGAACAATAAACGTAGCGTTACCACGAATATCCTCAGAACTGCTACCAACAAGGACAGTGAACCGACCAGGCTCAACAACATACTTCATCCGGGTATTCCAGAGACCAATATCCTCAACCTTGATCGGAATCTCAACAGTCGCAGTCTTTCCAGCAGGAATAACCACCTTCTTGAATCCCTTGAGCTGGCGATTAGGAACAACAACAGAGGCAATATCATCCTTGATATACACCTGCACAACCTCCGTACCCTCACGAGTAGCATGTGTATTACTCACATCAACACTGACAGTGACAGTCTTCTCAGAGGCAGAGATCTTGCTCTTATCGAGCTTGACAGATCCATACTTGAAGGTGGAATAACTCTTTCCATAGCCGAAGGGGTACCACGGCGAGGCGTCACCGAGAACATATGACTGACCGAACACGAGAGTTCCATTCTCATACGTGTGGCCCACGTTACCCATGATGCGTCCGGAGTTGAGGTAGTCGTAGAAAACAGGGAGATCGCCCACGTAACGGGGGAAACTAACAGATAACTTGCCGGAGGGGTTATAGTCGCCGAAAAGGACGTCAGCGAGGGCATTACCGCCCTCCTCGGATGGGTAGAACTGCTGCACGAGGGCAGCGGTTGAGTTTGCGATCCAGGTGTCTGTAATCGGCTTTCCGCTAGACAGGACGACGATTGTTGGTACGCCGGTGTCGGCAATGGCTTTGATTAGAGGACCTTGGGCGCCGACGAGAGATAGATCGTCTGTATCGATGTGTTCTCCAGTTCTTTGTGTTTGTCAGTACTGATACTTGTTCGATGTGTCTTGAAATAAGAATGGTTTGTTTACTCACGTTGCGTTCACTCCGGCCCATATTTCCTTTTGGTCGCGAGACCAGGTTCCGACAACAACGACGGCCACGTCGGACTTCTTTGCTGTCTCGATTGCCTCGTCGAAGCCTGACTGGTCATTGCTCCAGCGCTCGCATCCTTGGGCGTAATTGACTTGGGCGTTGTCGCCAACTGCGGCCTTAATACCATCGAGGGGAGTCACGCCGCGGTACTGACTCTTGTAGACAACGTAGTCACCGTACTATAAGCGTCGTTAATATATATCCCAACTAACGAGCAGATAAGAATATTGAACTTGCGTTCATGTAACCATGAGCCATGGGTCCGATGACCGCAATGTTACTCGACTTCTTCAGAGGCAGAATGTCATCGTGATTCTCAAGTAGAATGATAGACTCCTTGTCCAAGTCTCTCGCAATCTTCACAGCCTCGGGGCTATTGATGAGCTTATGCCACTCGTTCTGAGGCGCAGCAGGGTACGGGTTCTCGAAGAGACCCATTTCGAACTTGACCCGAAGCAACCTAGAGACGGCAGTGTCGACGACCTTAATATCGAGTTTGCCGGACTTGACAAGCTCGGGGATCTTCTGGAAGTTGCTATTCGGGTAACTAGTCAGTGTCTGTATCTGTATCTGTATCGTGTGGATTTCAATAGAGCTTACAATGAGCCACCTCCCATCTCAACGTCGGTTCCTGCATTCAGTAGCTGCGTGGTAACCGCCTCCATGTCGATGGGGTCGCTCTCGCAAAGGTGGAAGTAGGAGCACAGTCTGTCGCTTCCACTGGCGTCGGTCATGACGAAGTACTCATATCCCCATTCTTCTCTCAGGATTTCGGTGAGAGTGTGGTAGTCAGAGACTGCGGGAATTCCGTCATATCTAGAAATGGATGTTAAAATTGTAATCTCAGACAAAAGGACCGGGTTGGACTTACGAGTGGTACGCGGCCATGATAGACCAAGCACCGGCATCGATGATAGCTCGCTTGAAAGGAGGTAGCCACCTGTAAAGGTTAGTCAACTGGTTAGTCAACTGGACTGGTTGGTCAACTGGTGTCAACTGGCGTCAACTGGTGGGTCAACTGGTGGGTCAACTGGTTAGTCCCCCACCTTGAGGCTGACATACGTTGTGCGCAACTCTCTTTCACCACCATGTACGGGACCAGTATTTAGTCCCTGCTCGGGGGCACTGAAACCCGCAAAGTGCTTGACCATAGCGGACACATTCTTGCCCTGTACACCCTTGACGTAGCTATAACCGATTTCGCCGGAAAGAAAAGAGTCCTCGGAAAAGGTTTCTTCGACCTTTTTTGTCTTGTTAGCTTCCTTACGCTGGAATATGTTAGCATAGAGATGGGACTCACCCGACCAAATCGAGGCTCACGAGCGAGATCAACAACAGGGGCGAAGAGCTGATTAACACCAAGTGCTAAGGCTTCTTGTGCGATGATTTCCGCCATTTTTTCAATAAGCTGTACAATACCGTGTTAGACTTCAAGAACAGTATGTATGATAGTGCAAGTATGATAGTGCAAGTATAATAGTCACTTACATCTGTGTTCCACGAGGATCCATAGGCAATGGGTGAGTTGAAGATAGTGGCATTGCCAATCAAGAATCCGTGGATACCTGGTGCAAGAAATATCATGAGTCCGGGATCCAATATAGCTGGAGATTTTATGCCTTTTTGTCCATACCCTCAGACTGAACAATCGCAGGAATTCCCAGAGTGGTGTTGTGGAGGAGATAGTCTTGGGCTCTCTTGACGTTCTCGGAGATCCAATCCCAAGGAACAGGATATCCAACTGCAAGCCATTAATTAGTATTTGTGTTGTCTCTGCGGACAACTAAATAGACGACTTCATACCATAGAACATCCCTGACCTCTCGGCCATTTGTTCTACTAGGCCGGTGTAGTTAAACACTCCTGTGGTTTCATTCATCCATTTCCCCATATCACCTGCACAAGAATCAATCAGCAATTAGAAACCCCCATGGCGGCGATGAAGATAAAACTATACCCTGAGTCAACTGAGACCTCTTATCCTCAATGGTCATCCGGCTGAGCAAGTCCTCCACTCTCTTTTCCACTGGAGCATGGGGATCCTTGTAGAGAGGGCTGGAGGTCGGGGTTCCCAAAACCAGGGCAGCAAAGAACTGCACAAACAGCAGCCCATTAGAAAGTAGATTGGCCACCATTTCGAGAAGATGACGACTTCTTTTCCAAACAGATTGGAATGAAGAAGAAATTCCGGGGGAAGCTCTTCATATAAGGTTATGCCGACCAGCAGTTAAATCCTGTGGAGACAGGTGATTCAGAGTGCAGACATGTCGCATCATCACACCATTTGGTGTCGGAGATGAAGCCGAAAGCTCCAAACAGGATCAAGTTGGTCTCAACGGCTGCAGTAGTGCCCTGCTTGGCATCGTCAGAACCAGGCTAGCACTATCAGGAGACGGAGTAATCCCTCGTCTTATTGGTATGGTGTTTGCTGGAATATCGGTTAAAGTAGTGGAAGAGTTATGGTTCTATTGCCACGACAAAATCCCTACTTGCACAGATACTTAAACCCCCATGAATATTCAATAGTATCACCATAGTAAGATCACCCCAGCTACATACTAGTACTACTTCTATGTAGTCAAATTTTATCGTCCAAAGAATAGAGAATGGCTTTCAATTAACTTCATGACTGGGATCTTCATATATATCAGACGCACAAATAGTTATCGCGTTAGAGTGACTAGTGGATGTCTCATTCCCATTACCATGTCGGCGGTCCAAAGGTCTGACCCTCAGGCAGTACAATTTGGACCGCACTACCTTTAGCATCCAGGGTCGCGAGAGCCTTAGTGTTACCCCACCAACTAGGGAAAGTCGAATTGCTCAGACTGATAGCAAAGAGCATGACGATCAGACATAACGCAGTACCAACATCCAAGCCAGCGGAGATAACATAGTTATACTCCATCCACCAACCACGCCAGCGATTACGAATGAACTTGTTGAACACGAAACCAACACTACCCCACATAAGATATGTAAGAGGAGTTGCAGGGGGGATCATGCCCGTACCGCTGAAAATCAGGGGAGCGTTCAAGAACTTAGCACCGCTCTTGGGCCATTTGCGAGCAACAACCCAGAAAATGGCAGGCAGGGCGAGACCGGCGAGCCAGAACCATTGGAGGCTGGCGTACATCTCGCCGATGGAGAACATGCGCTTGGGACCGATGACACCCCAGATGATGGAGGCGTTGAAGAAGACGCGGCCGTTGGGACAGGTGTATTTGTTTGCTTGGTCGGGGGAGCAAATATTGCTAATGCTACCGAATGCCCAGTTCAGCACTGCTACCTGCACGGTTGAAGACCAGATGCAGGCAACCATCTGTGCCCAGAAGGTGACACGAGGGGGAGTTTCATGTAGTGACCTGTAATCATATTAGGATTTGTAAAACGTCGGGTGAAGGACGTGGGATTCGAAGGGGTCTTACCAAGCTTCATATCTTGACAGAAATACAACGCCTGAGACATTGAAATATAACCGTATGTCTTGAAAAGCATCATGGCCATGGGCTTACCAGGCTGAATGTAACCGACAATAAATTCAGTAATGACGTTCAGACCAAGCTGAATGTTCGTGGTAGCCTGGATCATGCCGATGGGTAGGGTCCACAACAAGGCTATGAGGAGAGAGACGAAGAACGCCCACCAGGAGAGATGGGTGGGGTAGGAAAGCACGACTGCCAATCCAATAACTGTCATGGTAACAAGAACGACGAGATACCACCAGAAAGGTACGGCCTCATACTTGGCCATCAGACGAGAGTGAATATCCTCGTGCTTACCGACATCGCGCATGCGACGATAGATATCCTTCCCGTGGAACAGGGCAACGTGGACAATAACGGCGGCCAGACCAGCAAAGGACAGACCGTAACATAGGGCGAATGTGGTGGACAGGAAAAGGGGGGAGTAGCTGTTATACTTTGCCATGTCGAATGTGTAATCGGAGGTCAGAATACGAGTGACGTTATACACCTGGCCAGTGTTGTCGTAGCTGTTGGAGTCCGACATGGGCAGGAATTTCCCGTAGAAGATGTTGGAAAAGTGCAGTGCCGGGGTAATGATCCAGAACCAGGCGACCAGACCAATAAGGGTGTTGGCAATGGCAAACCAGGGGGACATCATAGGACTGGTCACATAACCTGAGATGATGGACCAATCGAAAGAGATAGGGATCAGCGAGATACCGGTAGAACCTCCGAACAATTGGTTGATAACGACGTGGTTTGGCTTGATCCAAGTGACAAATGCAAACACACTCAGGAACGGAGCGATCAGACCCGGGAACCAATACCAGCAGAAGGCACCGCACATGACATAGAGGAACAAGCGGTACCGGTTGACGGTCCAGCCGGCTGTGTTAGCGGGGTCTGGTTTGCTTAGACCACGATCGTGCATGGCTGTGAATAGAGTTGTGTTGACCAGATTGGAGGGCCAGATCATAGCAGCAGGCTCCACCAGGAAGCGATGCAACATTCCACCCAAGCCGAATCCCAATGTCTGGGTGGAGATGGTGACGAAGACCTCAAAGGGCCATCCGTAACGTTGGCCATAGAAGCCTCGCTGCGCTGTAATGATGTCGAGGGTATACGCAAACCCACCAGCAAAGGTTGCGTTGGCCATGATTGTGACGAGAGCATGTTCTTTCTTGGTGAATGGCCCAGGGTTGAGCTCGCACTTTCTACCGAAAAAGGTGAAGGTAAAGTTGGGAATAGCACGAGCCCAGGCCAAGCCGAAAGGGAACACGACGACTTCAGCAATGTAAGAAGTAATCGTGATGGTAGGGCTGTGTAGCGAGAATAGAGCGTTGAGGCCAGATCCGAGAGTAGCAAACAGGAGACCCAAGGTCCAGGCACGGATAGTGTTTCCAGTGCCTCCTTCATCGTAGTTCAGGACTGCAGCACGAACCTCGGGGTAAGGAGAGTCCTCGATCAGGTCTTCCACAGCGTGGGCCTTGATGTCAACATCTCCAGATGTGAGGGCATCATCCAATTCCTTCTCAATCTCGCTAGGAAGGTTGGGATCGAATTCATGTTCCGCTTTAAGGTCCTGCAGATCATCGATGGTGGCACGGGGCATCTCTGCCACCGATATACCGGTAGACTTGCCCGGCATGGTTGAAAATCAGTGCATGGAATTCATACGAAAGACGCGCGCTGGTAGATATAGTAACTGGATGACTGGATGACTGCGGAGATATACATAAGCCTTATCAGTTCGAGTTAGATTGATGTTAGCCACAACCGGAGCTCCGTTTGGAAGTCCGACGGTGAAAGCACGGATTCCACCTTCAGCCGCCGCTACGACTAGCTACATAGGGCATCCACGTATCATGGGCCAACGTCGCCCCCTCCCCCACAGAGGAAGTGAACGGAGGAGATAACACTGTTGTGTTGTACCACATATGTTGTGATAACCTTGGACTTACTAGGTTATATATATATATAAAATAGTTATGTATATCTTTTTGATCTTCATTATGCAATGGAATTTTAGACTAACTATATACCGATCTCAAAACGAACCATCAACTACCATTGCGAAGACGACATTTGATATTTTGGAAGCCCTTTGTCTCCAATTCACATAATGTTATCGTGTGAGTGGTAGTCCCCGATGTCCCCTGCTTTCCATGTGCTTAGCTTTGGTCTCCACCTCGGAGACAACAATATAATCGAGTTAGAACCCCGGTCTCTTCCAACTAGTTAAATCCCGGTTTCATGTCTTGGACATTCCTACATGAATTCTTTTTTAATTTGGAATATCATTTAAATTTACCTTGAAATTACTCCATATAGTCATCCATAGTAAAAGTTCAAAATATCTGACCAAGAGAAACTGGTCTACACAAGAAACACCAAGACAAAACCAAGAAGCACCAAGCTTTGTTCTGTTGAAGTTGCCAAGGCAAACCTAACTGGGTTTTTGTCGGTGAAATAATAATCCACTAATCCCAATTAGGAAACTCCTTGCCAGCTTGGACTATTCGCTTCAAATCGCCCTACTTATCTTCTAAGAATCACACTATTATCACCCTCTCCAATTGCGCTAAGACCCCGTGGGCTTGACGCCCTTCACATAACCCATATACACACACCAATCACTTACCACTTACCACTGCAACGCAGTGGCGTTTGAATGGGCTGGATTAGCATCAGCTGGGGAACCCAGTCGCCACCATGATAGGGGATGGGGGGGTATCTCTCAAATTCGTATATGTAGCCAAATTCGAAACAAGCGACGTATCCTGTTATCTCCCTTGCCACTTAGGGAACTTATAACTAACTAGTTATTGTTGTACGAAACCAGTTTGATAATTCAACTCGGCCTTAATATGATTGGTCGAACACTCAGACCAAGGATAGCCATCTAAAGATACATACATATCTAGGTAGAGCCAAGGTCAGGCGACATGAGACTTGGGTATGCATTTATAATTAACATAATAATTAACATAATAATTAACATAATAATTAGTGTTATAATATGCATGGTATAATAGAGTTTTAAAAACAGAGGCTATTATAAACAACGTCGCATGCTGTTTGGAAATCTGCCGGGTTGTGCGATCATTCGACATATTGCCATTGGGTAAAACTATGGCAAAGGTGAAAAAAGACATAGCGGGGAAACGGAGAAAGAAAGACTCAAGAGAGATCGTTGGCCATGATTATGGAAGTATAGGGTTAGGCTACTGTGCCCCATAGTAATATTACTGTCTACAACATAGAGCTCCTTATGGGATACATCTGGTTAAACATCCTGTAGTGGTACGTGCTCTCAGCCTTTTGTACCTATGGGGGCTGCCCTCGGATGAGATCCTCCCGAAAACCGGGGGAGAAGAATGATGCCTGGAGATGATCACTATGGTAGATTGAACGGAAGATCAGTCGCTAATAACACCGAGAACTGTGTGGTTGAGGTATACAGCGTGAAAATACAGAAATAGTACATTGATATATTCTTAAACATATACCTGCAGAATGCATTGCCAATTACAAGAAGATAATGATAAGGATCTACCAGAAAAAAGTGACTGGAGGAATCGAGGAAAAAGAGGGGAAAGTGTATGTGCATCGGAGTTTAGGAGGTCTCGAGTTGATTATCGCCGAGCTTCCGTTTCCGTGTCAGGATCACCCGCGTTGTAGCTTGGCTGGGGCTGTGTCTCATTCTCTGGTGTTGGCGTTCCCGTCGCAGCAACACTGTCCGCGGGTTTGGTGTTCTGGGGTTTGCGGAGAGCACCACCCAGCCAGGCAAGCCCACCACTCCACGAGTCACTCAGGCTGCGAAGACGGGTCACATCTTCGTTGGGGTGATGTGTCGGTACGGTATCTATTTCTGTCGGGACAGCTGACGTTGAACGGCCAGCCTCGGCGGGTCTGTCTGCAAGGTTGGTAGCGGACTGGAGTCGAGCAGTTGCAAGTGAAAGCGCCGAATCACCATTTCCCTCGAGGGATGGATCTGTAAAAGCGCCGTCGAGCTGACGCCGACGTCCTAATCTCCGCCTTGTCCGATCCTTGAGGGGACTACCATCGCCACGTCGGATAGAATCGGCGACCACGGCAGTGAAGCCACCGGAAAGTGTGGGAAGAAGAGGCCCAGGGGAGAAACGGTGAGAGATGGAGTTGCGCAGAGCGCGCCGCGATGGTGTTTCAAGGAAAGTCTCGTCGCGAGTAGGGTGGTTGGCTTGATCTAAAAGCGTGGGGGGTTGAAGCACGTCGGACGGTGCCGGCGTTTCCATTGCCCCCCCACTGCTTCTTCAAGACCGGGTGCAGGGGGAACCGTAGGAGGACTGTTGAGGCTTGTGGTGTCTCGTCTTCCTGCTCGGGAGGCGTAACGGGGTGGATATCAGACTGCGGGGTTACGCCAGCCTGATACTGGACGTCTGCCCATGGGTTGGACATGCGAGACGGGGGTCGCAGTGGTGAAGCGTAGTCAAACGATGGAGCAGACAGAGGAGATGCATCGATTAAAGATCCACGAGGCGAAGAGGGTGCGGCGGAAAGAATGCCTCTAGGGGCAGACTGATCATCATCAACTTCATCAGTGCCTTGGCTCAATATAGACCCCGTTGGGGATCGTGGAACGTCATATTGCGGTTCTCTGGGAACGTCTGATGCCTTCGGCAATTGATGGCCAGACGAAGACAAATCAATGCTGTCATGATACCTTTCGCCATTGAGTAAACCAATGGACCCCTCCTCGTCTTCGGGTGAAAATGACGACTCATCGTCGGCGTGGACTCTGCCGCTCGTGATGAAAGAAACACCGAGGAAAGTCAAGAGACATCCACCAACAAATTTCGTCGCGCGCTCAGCCGTTATCGACTCAAAATCACGGTAAAGGACTCCACTTCCGATGATAACAGCGAGAGTGAAGAGAACAAACTGCGTCGGGATCACCTGCGTGGAATCGAAGCGTTGCAGAGCACGATTGATGTATCGGATTTGCATCAATGCACTAGAGACAAGGACGAAGACAAGCAAATAGGTGATAGGGAATGTGATAACATGCCACAAGGTGCCAGACAGAAGCGAAGAGACACCCTTCGTAGAAAGAGCCGTGTATCCGCCTGTTTTACACCAGTCAGCAACAAGACCAAAAAGAAACAAGCTCCTCGAACCAGAATTCCTAGATAGAAACTTACCAAATAGTGCAACGAGCCCAACATCGATAAGGATCGATCGCGAGCCATACTTGTGGCTTGCCCACATAAGACCTATAATCAACGATGTGGTCAACCCAAGATAGAGCTCGAATTCCCATCGTGTGATGTTCGCCCAAATTTCATCAGGTCCAATTTGTTCTTCGGACGATTTAGCACTGAGAACGACAACGACAGCACCGGCAATAGAGACGAGCACGCCCCAGAGATCTCGCTTGCGGAATTTCTCCTTGAGCAGACATGGCGCAATGATACAATTCGATATCAAAGCCACAACTCCCAATGGCGAGACGATCGACGCTGGCGCAAAGCCGTAGGCCATGAAATTGCCCATTTCCCCCACAACCATAAGCACGATTCCAACCCACCAGTATGGAGACTTAAGGTAGGATTTGCGGTTACCGTCTGCGCCATCCTTGCTTCCGGTGCTAGTGGCCCGCGAGCTTGAACTAGTGTTCCTCCCCTCGGTGTCGACAACATCTTCGTCGCGATAAGATTCGAAATCATTATGGTCCGAGTCTCGGTATTGGGCCGGGGATCTTCCCCTCGACCCAACGCGGGTTCCAGTGTTTCCATATTCCCCGCTGCGATTCTTGTCTTGTTCCCATTCCCTTGCGATCCGAATATGCGCGTAGCGTTGTATATTGAGAGCTAATGAGATCAGAACATTTCCGCATAGAGCCGTGATGATTCCAATCAGCGATGACCATTCATGCATGCTTCCCCCGTTATTCCCATCATGTCCATTAGGGGTTTCTGAGGTGGAATTTGAAGGTGCGACGAAGAGTTGGTGGATAGAAGAAGCCGTGAATGTGGATGATCTCGACGGAGAGACTGTCGAAGAAATAAGACCAGGCAGCAGGCTTGCTACCAGCGACGACTGGGAGAATGCCATCCGTTCGTCTGAAATGATGCGACCCTAGTAATCAAGTACTGTTTATCGTGCGCTTCGGCGGGGGAAGCCTTTTTGGGGTGTGATTGTCAAACACCCCTTACACACCCCAGCTCTTCGGCGAGTACGGCCGATCAGAACGAGCCTCCAGATTCCACGGTAAGCATTTGATCTCAAGTCGCAAAAGACCGCATTCTGTTCCGGGTAATCCGACTTTCTAGCGCGAGGATTATCACGGATAAGAGTAATGAATGAATACGAAGGAGTTTAGGCGGCGAGCTTACAGAGCGGAGGCGCGCCTCGGGGCCGCGGAGATGAGTGATATGTCAGCACCAAACAAACTCCCAGGCGCGGTAATTTGATGTGACACAACACAGATGCGAATGGAAACAACACCAAAGACGACGCTTGTGCGAGGCCAAAGCTCGTGCGGTGCTTATTATAGTTATCATTGGCGGTTCGGACGGGCAGTTTCAGATCGTCGGACTCTTGGGGCTCTTGGGGTACGTCATGGAGCAGCAAAAGAGGGGACAATCCAGAGCGAATGTAAGGAGCTTGTTCTGGTTGATGTTGTATGAAACTACAAGGTATATACTACATATTGCATATTTCACAGGCAGCCAGATTCGACTCATTGCAACTTAACGGGACCAAAAATCATATTGAATAGTGTACATCATCTCTAAGTGAATCATCGCTTTGCTTTCTTCTTTTCCGGTCCTTGCCCTTCATCATCACTCAGTTCCGCATAGATGGCCTTTGGTTGTGTTTCCCGGTATGCCGCGGTGAACATAGGGTCCTTCTCCGCCTTATCGGCATATTTCAAAAGTGCTTCACGCGGATCCTCGTCTCGCATGGAAGCGAGTGGAACATGCTTCATAATATGTTTCTCATCTGGGGTGCTTTTGGCGAACGGCGTCTGCACTGGCATATGCGGTCGGCGAGGATCGCGGGAGCGACCAGACGCTGTAAAGCCAACTGTAGGATGACGAGCAGACCTGGTTGCCGAGCTGTAATGCGGAACTCCGTTGGAACCGACAACGACCGAATCACCTGCCAATTGCTGGGTCAAGTCTGGGGTAACGGCAATTTCATCGACATGGCGGAGTTTTGGTGCCTTGGACATGACCGTCGCAGCGCCTTTCGTGGACATGGTCGGGTTATAGAGGACGTGGGTTTCGGCATTGGCGGAGCCCGTGATAATCTGGTTTAGCTTTTCGTGCCATAGAACAGTAATCAAGGGCGACCCTGGCGTCACAGGTGTGACGAGCTCTGGCTTGAGAGTAGCGGGGTTGAGGATATGCAGATGGCCGGTTTGTGAGCCTGTGATGATATTGGCAGACGAAGGAGAGAACTGAATGTTTGATGTCGGGTAGCGGGAAGACGTCGAGGTATGTGTGACGGTTGTGACTGGAGTCTTGAACTTTCTGGTATCCCAAAGCTTGATCGTATCATCGCCACCTCTGGAGATAACAAGCCTTCCGTCGGAACTGATATCAAGACCGCTTGTCCATGTGTCTTTGACATGAGCGTCCCGGATTTCTGCGCTGGGTCTTGTGTATGGACCGCTTCCACTCCACATAACTAGGCTCCCATCGAGACCCGCACCTACCAGAACATCGGCGCCTCCTTGTTTCGGGGAGCCCCATGCGATGGCAGTCATCTTAGTCCGACCAGCGGAGCCAGCCGCCCGTGACTTGTGCACGATCACCTCCCTCTGTGAGCGGCCGACATTGGCATCCCAGATGCGAATTGTGCTGTCCGTTCCAGCAGTGGCGCATAGGTTAGGATCAGATGGGCTCCATGCACCGCAAGTAACCTCAGACACATGTCCTTTGGTATGGTGCAGATCTCGTAGATACATATCTCCCTTCGCAAATTCTGTGAGTATCTCACCATCACGGCTGAGAATCCGTGGCTGGGGAGTGGCAGTGATAGCTAGAACATAACTTGGGGAGAGCGGGTTGAAGGCGGCGTAGTGCACGGCGTGGGTATCCTGGGCCGCCGTCGATTTCTTGGCTGAAGGATCGACGGACTTGAAAGCGCGGAGTGTGGATGGAGTCATAGAGGCAAAGTCATATAGTTTGAGTGTGCAATCCTTAGAACCTGTGATTAGTCGCGCCCCAGAGGGGTCCACGGTCATGGTGGTCACGGCACGCTCATGAGACTTGAGAACGAGCTCATGCGATACGGGAAATTCATCCTCGTCGTCATCTGAATCGTCAGAGTCTTCGTCGCTATTATCGTCGCTGTCTTTTTGCTCATCGTCGCTGCCTCTTGTTTGTGCGCTAGGGGCTGTTATGCTAGTGCTTGGTTCATTGCCCTCGGGTTTCGGGGCCGAAACATTGACACGCTTGGATCGGTCGATCTGGGACTCAACATCAACCGATTTCGCCTGCTTCCCAAAGCTGGAAGGAAAGAACTTGTTGAATGCTTCCTCGTCGAATTCATCCATGATTGGAGTGTGTGCGAAACTTTGCGACAGATGAGGGAGAGGCTTCAACCTGATAGTGAGCGAGCTTGTTTGCACTGTTTGCAACCTTTGGCCGATAAGTCGACGTGCTTGGCGCAGGCAATGCTCGCGCAGTGCCTCTGTATCATAGACGAATTATGTTCTTTAATGTATGTTTACGGATAAATTTGGGGAAATTTTGAAGCGGTGCGCCCTTTAGATTCGTTCGTTACTCGATTATTACAATACACAGGGACCTAACTGAGTACAGGTCTCCAGCGCAAGCACTCTGGCACTCTATCCTCGAAAGAATTTCCAGCGCTTACAAGTAGAGACCCTCCACAGGACCACCGTCCTGCTTAGTCTTCATGATACGCTCACGAGCAGCCCGGAAATCGTCCATCTGAACCCTCATCCGGCGCTCTCTCAGGGCCATCAAACCAGCTTCGGTACAGATGGCGCGAATGTCAGCACCGGAGAGATCATCCTTCTGGTTGACGAACTCCTCAAGATCAACGTCGTCACCGAGAGACATCTTCGATGTGTGCAGAGTGAAAATCTTCTTCTTGGTGTTTTCTAAAAGAATTGTTAGTAAGCCACGACAAATCAGTAGGCGTCAAGAGCATCACTTACGATCCGGACTCTCGAACAGAATCTTACGGTCAATACGACCAGGTCGGATCAAAGCTGGGTCCAGAGTTTCGATCTTGTTAGTGGCCATAATGACCTTCACGTCACCACGATCATCGAATCCATCCAGCTGGTTCAGAAGCTCCAGCATGGTTCGCTGGACTTCTCTCTCACCACCAGATTGTGATTCGTATCGCTTCGTACCGATAGCATCAATCTCGTCGATGAACACAATTGATGGGGCATGATCAGCAGCAACTGAGAAGATCTGGCGAACCAAGCGGGGGCCATCACCCAGGTACTTCTGAATCAGCTCACTGCCAACAATCCGGAGGAAGGTTGCGCTGGTCTGGTTGGCAACAGCCTTAGCAAGTAGCGTCTTTCCGGTACCTGGGGCACCGTAAAGAATAACTCCCTTGGGAGGCTTGATACCCATCTCTTCATACAGCTCGGGGTGTAGCAAGGGCAGCTCCACGGATTCTCGAACTTCCTGGATTTGTTGCTCCAGACCACCGATATCAGCGTATGATTCCGTGGGCGCCTTGTCCAACTTCATCACCGAGACAAGCGGGTCAGACTCCTCCGTCAGTACACCGACGACAGACACTGACTTATGGTGTAGAAGAATACTGGCACCCGGCTCGAGGAGATCTTTATCGACGAAAGACATGATGGAGACGTAGTACTCAGGGCCGGTGGTACTTGAGACAATAGCATGGTCATCATCAATCAACTCTTCTAGGTTGCCGACACCCATCGGGCTACCTCGCATGTCATCGACTCGACTCCGCTCATCGGCGTTCCGATCCATCACATCCAAGTCACCACCTCCCCTGGCGGGATCCTGGGTAGCCTGGGCTTTGGCCTTGCGCATTCGTTCCATGTTCTCAACGTACTCTTCTTCTAACAGCAGGTGGTCGTGAACACGCTGCATGCGAAGATATCGGAGCTTGCATCGCGACGTAGGGTAGATATCGGGGAGCTTGGAGGCAGTGCTTGGGCCGGCAGCCTTGCGCTTCTTCTTTCCAAGACGAGTGGTAGGTGGTGGGGGTGGTTCGTATTTGGGCTTGTCCTTCTGGTGAAAGAAAGATGGTCTCAGCGCTGGTTGTGTAGTAGAAACGAGTAGGGAACATACCTTCTTATCCTTGTCATCACGTCCATCGCCTCCAGGGCCACCGCCCAGGTTAGACTGCTGTTGACCCTAGTTTTAAATGTTAGAATGGCACATCGAGATGGCCAACCCCAAAGGCTGGTAACATAGGGACACTCACCATGTTTGTCAGCCACCGAGAGGGAGACAATCAGAGTCCCTGGTGTGAAGTTGCAAATGGAATAAAAGTAGGGTGAGCCCCGAGCCTTAGTTGGTATGGAAAGATGGGGAAGGCTAGTCGAAAGGGATGGATAGATAGTCAATGCAGATGTGGTGGTATCGCCGAAGGTCAGACGCTGGGCGAGCTGGAAGCTGTTAGGACCACACGTGACTATTTATGCCTCAGGCTGCAACTGCGTCATTCTCGCCTTGTTGCCTTAACACCGGCACCTTGCTTGTACCGTTAAGACATTCTCGAAGACAAACAAAGAAATTTATATCTACCGAGGCTCTATACTGAGATTTATTTTAAGAAGCCCAGTCTTAACACTCGTGTCTCTTTGTCTCGAGGTCAATATCTCACGTGCATACATATATAAAAGGGGACAGGTGACAAGTATTTGAGCTCATCTCTCATACTGATTCTCCGTATAGTTCCCCTCCTTACATAGGTGAGTTCCTCGTTTACCTTGATTTGCGATTTGCTTTCAATTCCCTAGAGGATTCCGTACTCTGGTTGTGATAGCTTTCTGGTTGATCTGGAGGTTTCCTAACACCCATCCTGCTACTATTAGCCCCACTTCGCCCTCCTCTCCACGGCAGTTTCGCTCT